GAATTCAGGTAAACAAGCCAATCAGTAAAGGGACAGTAGGTTTGGGAAGACAAGTCATGACAAGTGTTAACATGTTGGGGACAAGTCTCAACATGCTGTGCAGCATAGAGGCCTGTGGGGGCTGCAGTTGTCAATAGTGCAGCCATGTTTAAATGGCATATATCCCCACAATCTAACAGTTCTGAAAGTCATAAAAACCCTGCACATATAGAGAAAATTGCCCTATCATATATCCAAAAGTACTATGAAATTAAAACACTCCTGGATCACAGACAGACCTGTAGATCAAAAGAAGAAAATAAATAATTCAAAAACACCAGCACATATAGAAATTTAACATAGGATAACTGTGGCATCTTAAATTAGTAAGAAAATAATTTTCAGTAAAGGATATTGAAACAATTAAATATTCATAAAATACAAATAAAATTAGATACTTTCCTCACACCACACACAAAAATTCATATGGATAAAGACGGCTGTATAAAGACATAAATCTATAAAATGTAGGAGAGTAGTCTCAGGATCTTGGGGGGGGGGAATGTCTTTTTAAGTAAGACACAAAACTCAGAATCAATAAAGGAAAAGGCCAATAGAAATAGCTATATAAAATTTTAAACTTCTATAGCACTAAAAGCTGTAGACAAAATTAAAATATAAACTGAGAGGAGCACTGGCAAGAAATGTAAAGGAAAGAGAATAAAGACCACTAATAGATGAAGAGAATCTAAAATTCAGTAAGGAAAAGATAAACAAACCAATTAGAAACAGACAAAGAATATGAATGAGCAATTACATAAAATTAATTTAAATGTCTTACAGTAGAGAAATAGTTAAGTAAGCTTTGGAATACTATGCAGCCATTAAAAGGAGGTAGATTTTATATACCAACTTGGGAAGATTTATAGTCGATCTGTTTCAATAAAATAAAGCAAGTATATGGACAAATAAGATTTATAGGATAGTGCCGTTTATATAAAATACCCAGAATAGATAGGTTAGAGGTAGATAACTGATTGATGATAGGTAAGGTAGGTAGGTAGATAGATAAATCTGCTAAACTATGGGAGGTGATTGAAGTTGAAGGAGTGAAAAGACATTTACAATGAACATGTTTATATACTACCTTTGTAACTAAGTATATGACTTAACATTAATATAAAATGAATATTTTTGTTGCACTGTAACTGCTGTTTTATTTGACTAAAATATATTTTCCCTTCAAATTGCCTTCGGAATAGCACATCCCTCCAACTTTGGAATCTCTCACTCGTTCAACGCTGCTCTGCCTGTCTGCCATTGGGATGATTTCTTCTGCTACCCCTGAGTTCCTGGTTGCTCTTCTGCCCCTTGGGGTTGCCTTTTATTTTATCCAGAAATATTTCCGAGTGGCCTCTAAGTAAGTAAGACAAAGTTCTGTTAAATTTTAAAAAGACTGTATATTTGACTTACTGTGATCTACTTTGGCTATCATGCTTTTTCAAGATAAGATTGAATTGGGAAATGCAACATGTATTTGACATGCAAAAACCTATCCTGATGTCATGTTTCACATGGATATCTATTATAATTGTTTCTGTAATTGGTTGTAATAGCACTGGACATATAGCAACACATAGATTGATCTACGGAGTTTTGAGTCCACAGATTTGTGTCAGATTGTTCACTTCATGGTCCTTTTTTCTGAATATGACATTGGCAGGAAACCTGCAAAATCAAACTTGATCCCAAAGGGTAAGTGATTCAATATCATTATATTCCACACATGGGAACAAAAAAAAGGTAAAATATTTTTAAATTCTTAAAAAATATTCTGTAAAATATAGAAATACAAAGAGATAAATCAAAGGGATGACTATTAAGTAAATAATCCTGAGTGTTTGATAGGAGTGCCATAACTTTAAGAGATAGGGAAATTTCAGATTGGATCATGTAACATGATGTAAGCATCCGGCAAATAAATATAGTAATGACTTTAAAATTTTTCTCTTAATATAGAATTTTTCATTTGTGAGATGTTGAATCATTAAATAAAATATCATACCAACCATTTTGATATTTCCCTCTTAATTTTGAAGTCCTGCTGTAAACAATGCTATAAATTTTATGTCATTACAAGAATAACTTAATTTCAACAAACACTTAAGCGCTTATTACATAGCAAATAATTGTGTTAAACCATGAGGCAGATAAAGAAATCAACATGACAAGAACTTATTATCAAGAAATTTACAGTCTCTTAGGAAGATAAAACATATACAAAGTAACCCTAATAAATATATTAAGTGTTGAAATAGGAAGGCAGATAGTGAGTTTATTCAGGAAATTTAAAGTGTTTAATAATGATTTAAGTGCAGAGAGCATGAACAATTGTAGGGGAAGGAAGAAGAGAAGGCAGACTTACAGTTGAGAACTTCTGACCATATTATATCCATAATTTTAAAAATATAGTCATTTTCACCTCAGGGCTATGAAATAGGGTCCTTCAAATGTTAGGGATCCAGATTAAATCTAGAATGAATTTTTATTCCCAGCCTTATCCTCTTTTCTCATAGCAAATTCAGACCAAAAGGGAGAAACTAGCCATCAAATTCACCCTTTCATTTCTTCTGGTGTTACTGTCGATGCTGCTTGTAGGACGGGACAAAGAAGCTTGGAGTTAGTTCATTATTGATGTCTGTTTCCAACTCTATCCTTGCCTTCTTACCAAACTGTAATATCCTAGTTCAATCACACATTCATTTGGTCCTCTTTGGGCCCTTAAGCAAGACAAATTGAGTGCAAAGGTTAGATAAATATTCCTAGTCTGTTGCAAATTTGAATTGTGAATTCTGTTCATTATAAATGAGAATATTCTTGTAGCATTGCTAGTAAATGAGTAAGTACAGCCAGAGTGCTCCTTGGAAGCAAGGATGGCGAGACTTCATCTCATGTACTTAGCTTTTTTTTTTCTTTATTGTACTTTAGATGGAGGTTTACAGAGCAAACTAGCATCTCATTAAACAATTAGTACACACATTGTTTTGTGACATTGGTTACCAACCCCACTACACGTCAACACTCTCCGCTTTTAAACCTTGGGTTCCCTGTTACCAGCTTTCCTGTCCCTTCCTGCCTTCTAGTACCTGCCCCTGGGCTGGTGTGCCCCTTTAGTCTCGTTTTGTTTTATGGGCTTGTCTAATCTTTGGCTGCAGAGTGAACCTCAGGAGTGACTTCATTACTGAGCTAAAAGGGTGTGCGGGGACTGTCTTACGTACTTTGGACATATTAGGAGGGACCAGTCCCTAGAGAAGGGCATCATGCTTGATAAAGCAGAGGGTCAGCGAAAAAGAGGAAGAACCTCAACAAGACGGATTGACATAGTGGCTGCAACAATGAACTCAAACATAGCAATGATTATGAGGATGGTGCAGCGCCAGCCAGTGTTTTGTTCTATCGTACATAGAGTCACTAAGAGCCAGGATCGACTTGATGACACCTAACAACAACGACAGTAAATGATGAAAATAGGAAAGGGATGATCTTTTTTTTTTTTAGTTTTTGTAATTGTACTTGTCTTAGTCATCTAGTGCTGCTATAACAGAAATACCACAAGTGGATGCTTTTAACGAAGAGAAGTTTATTTCCTCACAGTCAAAGTAGGCTAAAAGTCCAAATTCAGGGTGTCGACTCCAGGGGAAGGCTTTCTCTCTCTTGGCCTTCTCGTCAGTGTTCCCCTGGACTAGGAGCGTCTCTGCGCAGGGACCCCTGTCCAAAGGACATGCTCTGCTCCCAGCACTGCTTTCTTGATGGTATGAGGTTCCCCTGTCTCACTGCTCACTTCTGTCTTTTGTATCTCAAGAGATTGCCTCAGGACACAATCCAGTCTTGTAGATCAGGTCCTGCCTTACTAACACAACTGCCACGCACCCTCCCTCGTTAACATCATAGAGGCAGGATTTACAACATATAGGAAAATCACACAGTACCAAGAATCATAGCCCAGCCAAACTGATACACACATTTTTGGGGGGACATAATTCAAACCATAACAGTACTTTAGATGAAGGTTTACAGAACAAATAGTTTCTCATTAAACAGTACACATATTGTTTTATGACATTGGTTAACAACCCCATGACATGTCAACACTCTCCCTTCTCAACCTTGAGTTCCCTATTACCAGCTTTCCTGACCCCTCCTGGCTTCTAGTCCTTGTTGTGGGTTGTTGTGCCCCATTAGTCTCATTTTGTTTTATGGGCCTGTCTAATCTTTGGCTGAAGGGTGAACCTCGGAAGTGAACTCATTACTGAGCTAAAAGGATGTCTGGGGGCCATACTCACCGGTTTCTCCATTCTGTCAGGCCAGTCAGTCTTGTCTTTTTATGTGAGTTAGAATTTTGTTCTACATTTTTCGCCAGCTCTGTCTGGAAGCTTCTATTGTGATTCCTGTCAGAGCAGTCAGTGGTGGTAACCAGGTACCATCTAGTTGTGCTGGACTCAGTCAAGTGGAGGCTGTGGTAGTTGTGGTCCGTTAGTCCTTTGGACCAATCTTTCCCTTGTGTCTTGTATTCTTCATTCTCCCTTGCTCCCAAAGGTGTGAGACCAGTGGAGTATCTTAGATGGCTTCTCAAAGGCTTTTAAGACCCCAGACGCTACTCACCAAGGTAGAAAGTAGAACGTTTTCTTTATAAACTGTTATGCCAGTTGAGCTAGATGTTCCTCGAGACCATGGTCCCCACAGCCCTCAGCCCAGCAATTCGGTCCCTCAGGGAGTTTGGATATGTCTATGGAGCTTCCATGACCTTCCCTTGTACAAGTTGTGCTGGTTTCCCCGGTATTGTGTACTGTCTTACCCTTCATCAAAGTTACCACTTGTCTATTGTCTATTTATTGTTTCCCCCCCAACCCCTCCCCTACCTTGTAACCATCAAAGATTGTTTCTTTTTGTGTGTAAACCTTGTCATGAGTTTTTACAGTAGAGGCCTCATACAATGTTTGCCCTTGTGTGATTGACTTATTTCACTCAGAATAATGCCCTCCAGATTCATCCATGTTATGAGATGATTTGCAGATTCATCATTGTTCTTTATCGTTGCATAATACTCTATTGTATGTATGTACCATACTTTGTTTATCCATTCATCTATTGATGGGCATCTAGGTTGTTTCCATCTTTTTGCCATTGTGAACAATGCTGCAATGAACATGAGTGTGCATATGTCTATTCGTATGACGGCTCTTATTTCTCTAGGATATATTCCTAGGAGTGGGATTGCTGGATCATATGGTATATCTATTTCTAGCTTTCTAAGGAAGTGCCATATCGTTTTCCAAAATGGTTGTATCATTTTGCATTCCCACCAGCAATGCATAAGAGTTCTGATCTCCCCACAGCCTCTCCAACATTTGTTATTTCCAGTTTTTTTGATTCATGCCAGTAATGCTGGGGTGAGATGGTATCTTATTGTGGTTTTCATTTGCATTTCCCTAATGACTAGTGATTGTGAGCATTTCTTCATGTGTCTGTTAGCTGCTTTAATGTCTTCTTTGGTGAAGTGTCTGTTGATTTCCTTTGCCCGATTTTTAATTAGTTTTGTCTTTTTGTTGAAGCAGTGTTGGATTTTCTTGTAAATTTTAGAGATTAGACCTTTGTCTGATTTGTAATGGCTAAAATTTCTTTCCCAGTCTATAGCTTCTCTTTTTACTCTTTTGGTGAAGTCTTTTGATGAGCATAAGTGTTGAATTTTTAGAAGATCCCCGTTATCTTGCTTATCTTTTGGAGTTTACCTGTTGTTGGTTATGGTTTGTATCCTGTTAATGCCATCTGTTAGGGCCTTTAGCGTTGATCCTATTTTTTCTTCTATGCACTTTATAGTTTTTGGCTTTATATTTAGGTCTTTGATCCTTTTTGAATTAGTTTTTGTGTACGGTGTGAAGTATGGGTGCAGTTTCATTTTTATGCAGATGGACATCCAGGTTTGCCAGCACCGTTTGTTAAAAAGACTGTCTGTTCCCCATTTGATGGACTTTGGGCCCTTGTTGAAGATCAGGTCACCATAGGTGGATGGATTTACATCTGGGTTCTCAATTCTCTTCCATTGGCCAATGTATCTGTTGTTGTACCAGTACCAGACTGTTTTGACTACGTAGCTGTATAGTAGGTTCTGAGGTCAGGGAGTGGGAGATCTCCTACTTTATCCTTCTTCTTCAATAGTGCTTTACTAATCTGGGGCTTCTTCCCTTTCCTTATAAAGGTAATGATTAGTTTTTCCATCTCTTTAAATAATGTTGTTGGTGTTTGGATTGGGATTGCGTTGTATTTGTAAATTGCTTTGGGTAGAATTGTCATTTTCACAGTGTTGAGTCTACCAGTCCATGAGCATGGTATGTTCTTCCATTTATGTAGATCTGTTTTGGT